TATATGAGTATATATTATATATATCAGTATGGTATATATATATTATATCTTGGTCTCAAAAGGCAAGAATTGTCAGAGTCATCTTTGCAGTCTAGGCACTCAGTAAGTAGCAGATAGTACTCATAAACACTAATAGAAAAATGAGTGAGTTTGGTTGAAACAACCCATGAAATACAACTATGGCAGATAAATTTTAAAATGTACTAAGCGCAGAGCACAGAGGGCTCCAAAAGTTTGGGTGAATCTGGGGGCTTTACTCTCATACAATTGGTACAACATAGAAGATTTTGAGGCAACTACAAGATTAGGGCAAACACGTCAGCAAATCTAGTCAAATAATGGTATGTAGCATATGAATGGGCCTGGGAGATATAGGAGAGGTGCACTGCAAGACCAAGAATGGGCATGAGCCAAACATAATGTATCATGTATCTATAATGTAGTATAGGGCCAAATATCTGATACTGGTCACTTTTAGAACACAGGTCAATTTCTTCTTGTTCTATAATTAATTTCTGTTCACAAGGAAGAGAATCTGCGTCAACATTTAGGCAACATGTAAAGCTTTCAAAATTTTGGCTTTTGTCTTCTATGTATATGTTAGTTTTTTCCCCAAATGGCCAAGTGTTCTGCAAAAGAGAACACTGTAAGCTTCCAAATACTCATGGGCACTTGTAAATGTGATAGAACATTCATGTAATTTCCACTTGCTACACAACACACCCTGAGGATGTTTTTCTGGAACATAACAAGTGGTTCTGTTGCTAAGAAAAAAAGAGGTTGCTTGATGAAAGATATGAAAAACACCTAAACATGGTCAAAATAATGCCTTTGAACTATATCACTTTTTGTATCAGAACTAGTGAAGGAAGAAAGTTACAAGTATACGATGTTAACTCTAGTTGTAAGACAGAGCCAGTCTTTCAATATGGAACTGCATTTTGTAGTAAAATGTTATTATGCACCAGAAACCATTACTTCTTCCTTAAAATATTAATATCAATGTGATTATGAGTAATTACTTAGAGGGGAAAAATATAAATTGATCTTCTTAACTGGCTTTTTCTAAGCACTTAAATTCATTTTCACTACTAGCCCCTAGATTTGTTTCAAAATAGAATTAAATTTAAAGTATGGTCCAGTGAATGTAATAAGCACAAAGTATAAAGGGTCCTTCTAAAGCAAATATGCAGGGAGCCACTAAGGAACCAACTTATAAAAAAACTGAAGCAAAATTTAAATGATGATCATAATAAGAATACAAATATCAACAGCTAATCTTTATGGAACTCTTACCACGTCCCAGCTACTCCACTAAAGGCTTAAAGTATTTAGGATGAACCATATGAAAATGGCAATTTCATAAGGTTCAACCTAATATAGTTTCTCAATTAATTCTTACAACCACCCCAATTAAAGAATGTTATTATCCCTATTTTACAGATGAGGAAACTAAAATTTAGAGGGCTTAACTTGATTAAAGTTAAAGAGCTAAGAAACAGTAGAAATGGGACTAAAGTCTAGGTCTGAGTCCAAAGCCCACATTCTCATTACATATTACACAATAACAGTAGTCTCCACGTCTTGAAAATGAGGCTGAAGATGTAGGCACAAAAGCACTTTTACATACTGCTCAAAGCCACTACACAGACAGTTATGCGAGTTGCACCCTTACATAGGCCCCCCAGCAAGGGAAGATAATGAAACGGGGTTGACATCCAGCCCATGCTTCACTATCTATTCTATTACACAATGGCATCCAACTAAAGAAGATTCTCTCGCTTACCAAAAATTGTTATACTGGCTAACAGTGGCCTGGATTCTGCTAGTATAATTTTTAGAGAAAATTTTAATAGTATAGATTAAAAGCCTTAAAAGATATATTCTTTGATCCAGAAATTTCAATTTAAGGAACTTATTCTAAGGAAATAATTAAGGATCAACTAAAACTTGCATTAAAAAGATATTTATCAGTATTTATAAAAGAGGAATAACTAAAAAATCTAACATGTCCAACAATAGGGTATTAGCTATTATACAAGATGGACATATGATTAAAATAATGTTGGAGAAATACATTCATTAACCAATAAGCTTTTCACAAGATCATAGGAATGACAAAATTTACAAAAATTATAGTCAGTTTAGTAAACCTAAGATACATGTATATTTTCTACATATAATATATTCATGGATGAGGAGGGAAACAGAAAAAACACTAAGTAATGGAATTATACATTTTTAATATTCTTCTTTGTTCTACTTTCATATATTTTTCCATAAGATATATATATATAAGCTGGGTGTATTGGCTCACATGGGTAATACCAGCACTTTGGGAGCCCAAGGCAGGTAGATCACTTGAACCCAGGAGTTTGAGACCAGCCTGGGCAACATGGTGAGACCTTATCTCTACAAACAAAAATACAAAAATCAGCCAGGTGTGGTGGGGTGTGCCTGTATTACCAGCTACTCAGGAGGCTAAGGTGGGAGGACTGCTTGAGCCCAGGAGGCAGAGGTTGCAGTGAACTGAGGTCACATCACTGCACTCTAGCCTGGGCAGCAGAACAAGACGCTGTCTTGAAAAACAAAAAGTATATATGTATGTATGTAGGTATGTATGTATGTATGTATGTATGTTGTATAAAATAACTCAAAAAGAGGTAAAGCAAACAAATAACAAAAACTACAAGAGGCAAATAACACGAAGCTAAAAAAACAGTTACATAAAAAGTATAGCCATGCAAAAATTTTATTTTGTCTCCTAACTTGGAATTACTGGGTTGGTGCAAAAGAAATTGCAGTTTTTGCCATTATGAAATCTGTGATTTACTATGATTGAAATTGAAGTAAAAACTACCTAATTTCATGTGAAATTGAGAAATCTAGTTCATTTTACCATATGGCCTGGATTGAGAACCACTGCCCCAAAATACAGATACAAAACAAAGCACAGGCCAGGCGTGGTGCCTCATACCTATAATCGCAGCACTTTGGGAGGCCAAGAAAGGGCAGATGACCTGGAGTCAGGAGTTTGAGACCAGCCTGGCCAACATAACAAAACCCCATCTCTACTAAAAATACAAAAATTCACTGGACATATTGGCATGTGCCTGTAGTCTCAGCTACTAGGGAGGCTGAGGCATGAGAATCACTTGAATCTCGTGGAGGAGGAGGTTATCTATCATATCACTGTACTACATCCTGGGTGATACAGTGAGACTCTGTCTCAAACAAAAAACAAAACAAAACAAAGCACCCACAAAGTATACTTTAAATATCTTTAGATAACAAAAACGTAAACAAACGTTTTAAAAAGAAGAAGCATTTTTTTAGCATTACCTATCAAACAAATAGAATTCTCAATAGAGTGAGAAAGCAAAAAGTGGCTCCTGACAGCCAGGAGTTGGCCTGGCACCATCAGCTAGGCATCAGGGTACAACAATTAAACATACACAATTTTGCAGAATACCAATATCAGACAAGGCCACCCTGTGCCCATAATGGGTAAAGAGAAAAATTAGACCACTCTGTCTAATCATGTCTAAACACAGACAAAAACATGAATACTGTCCTGATCACAAAAATAACCAATCAGGCTAGGTGTGGTGGTTCAGGCCTGTAATCCCAGCACTTTGGAAGACTGAGGCGGGCAGACCACTTGAGGTCAGGAGTTTGAGACCAGCCTGGCCAAAATGCTGAAACCCCATCTCTACTAAAAAATACAAAAATTAGCTGGATGTAGTGGCAGGCAGCTGTAATCCCAGCTACTCTGGAGGCTGATGTAGGAGAATCACTTGAACCCAGAAGGCAGAGGTTGCAGTAAGCTGAGATCATGCCACTACACTCTAACCTGGGCAACAGAGGGAGATTCCATCTCAAAAATAATAATAATAATAATAACCAATAACCAAACATAATCCTAACTAATATGAATGACTGCTGTTTCTTTCCTTTTTTTTTTTTTCCTTTTCTTTCCTTTTTATTTTTTCTTTAGAAATGTTATCACTCTGTTGCCCAGGCTGGAGTACAGCATGATCACAGCTCACAGCAGGCTCAACCTCCCAGGCTCAAGTGATTCTCCCACCTCAGCCTCCCAAGTAGCTAGGACTACAGGGGACAACCACCAAACCCAGCTAATATTTGTATTTTTTTTGTAGAGGCAGAGTTTTGCCATGTTACTCAGGCTGGTTGCAAACTCCTGAGCTCAAGTGATCCACCCACTCTGGCCTCCCAAAGTGCTGGGATTATAGGTGTGAGCCACCACATCCAGCCAACTACTGGTTCTGTATCAATCACAGCTTTAGCCTTGCTCCATTTTCTTGCCTTCTAGGTTCTTAAAATTACTCCTACTTTCTAACAGCATCTAACCCACTGAAAAGCCCCACTTCCTTATACTCTAACCAAAATCACTTAACACAAGTCCAAATCCTGTATGGTTCCCTATGACACCTATTCTTCCATGGTATAATGAATCACCTCATCTTGTTTTACTGCACATATATTCTGGATGGTCTTCCCTGGAGAGTGATGACAAGAGTTGGGACAATACATGAGTACAGGATGGATTAGGAGAAAAATGATATAATTACATAAAAATACCAACAATCAAAAGAACAGATAACATTGTACATAAAAGGATCTTTTGACACATTAACTTATCCTATCACAGATTCCCACAAATTCAAAATTCCCAATGTTTATCAGCACTGCAATTTTTGATTAATAAATTAATTTTCAATTAAATTCCCAAATCACAATGTAAATATAAAAAGTAGAAGGTAAATGAAGAAACAAACCCCTGAAAATAATACCTACAACTACACAATTCTCTAATTTAAACACATTATTTTTATGTAGATTATTAGTTTCTTATTAGGAAGTTTTGATAATAGGTCGTGAAAACTAATCTATCTAGAACACAGGTATGCCTTACTATTTAAACGGTAAACTGTTTTCTGATTGATCATTAAGGGGAACCTTGCCCTTTGCATCCTTACCTCCTGGATCTTTATCTGGATTATACTCTAAAGCATTGCTACAGATGAGGTCAATATCTTTCAGAAAATCCTTAGCAGTCAGGTAATTATGTTTATCAATTTTAGTTATTACTGTTGATAAGTCCATTGGTTCCTTAATTACTTCAAGATAATCTGAAACCTAGAACAAATAAGATATTTCAATAAAAATTACTTCTGGATTTTCATACCATCTCAGTTCATAAAAACACAAAATAAAACAAAGTTGTTAAAATTAAATCTAAATATCAAATAATTTACAACGATAAAATTACAGTGCTATTTATGCTACGAAAGTTACTATCTGCCATACTTTCCATGAAGCTTCAGTTTCCAAGTCATAACCTAAATCAATTCTGAAATGTTTCTGTTCTTGAAATCTGAAACCGTGTCAGCTTTTTTTTTTTTTTTTTTTTTTTTTCAATTCCTTTGGGCATATCTGAGAAGAGAATGTATGGACAAAAGTACCCAATAAGCCTCAATAAATGTGACTTCAAGAAAAAAAAAGTAAAATAAAAAGCAAAGACTTTCCATACTGTGAGATATTCTGATAAATCTCTTTAAATTGTCAACAAAAATTTTCATTTTCAGTTTTCTAGAGTGAACTATTTCATGGAAAGTATTTTCCACTCCTTTGGAGTCATCAAAAAGATTCAGTCAATTATATAAGAAAATTAAGTATAGTTTTCCTAACCAGTATGAGATTTGCTGGACTTGTCCCTAAGTATAAAAATATCTACAAACAAACAAAAAACAAACATACTGGTTTCTGTGCTGATTTTCTGTGAGATAACACTTAAACGGGATATTAAGTCATGATTTGCCCAATAAATTGTATATCCCTGACCAATAAGAAAGTGCAAGCCATTTATGTATCTATGGTCTTCCCCAATGCAAATCTCAAATCAAGTAAATAAGTTTGCTGTAAAAGCAGTCTGAGCAGTAATGTCTAAAATTAGTCCAGGAACAATTTCTGGGGAGACAGTCACATTCTGCTCTATGATCACAGGATTAGTTTTCTCATAGTTTCAGATGGCATTGATACTATTATTTTAAAATTTACATGAACATGTATGTGTGTGCATATACATAATTTATATGTTTTTTAATGTTTAAGATTATTTATAAAAATATTAAGTAGAAGTGTATATGTGTTTTAATTTATTTTTCACCCTTTGAGAGCTTAAAAGTCAGTCAATCTCCCTAGAGGGGAGGCAGCAGAGTTACACTGAAACAAACTACCTCAGAAGATATTAGCTGGATTCCTTGTTCTGGTATTTGACATAAATGTCTATGTATAAGTGGAAACTGTTTTATAAACTGAAAAGCACTATATTTATCTGACCAACATTTTCTATCCCCTTGCACTACCTTACCATCATCTATAACATTTATTCTATTACAGATGGCATTTGGGAAAATGAAAATCTGACAAATCTTTTTTGATTAGAAAGAAAAAGAGTTTTCCTGAGCAAAAGCAAAACTGGTTTACTCCCAGCATGGGAGGTTGAGTTGGGGCCAAGCCCTTATCCTTTAAGAAGTATCAGAGTCCAAATATACTAAATGGGGGAGTGGAAGGAAGGGCACAAATACATATCACATTTACTTAAAATGATTTTTTAAACTGAGAGTTTTAAGATTATCTAAAAATACTATGGGGGGGTGATATCCCACAAGTATACAGTGATATTTATTAATTAAAAAAGCAAATTAGGCATGTCCTGATATCCCAGTGGAAAGATACAAAGTAGCTATGATCATGAATGTGGGCTTTAAATTTAAAAAAACTTTCAAGTCTTAGCTATGTCACTTGCCAACATGTCTGTTTCCTCAGTTGCAAAGTGAGAATAACAATAATAATCCTACAAGGTTAAGAGGATCAAGTGGAAAAACCAGTGTATTATGGACAAATGTACAAATAAAATCTCTTTGTTCCAAAAATGGGAAAAAAATACTTATTTTCAGACTTGCCGGGGGGAAGAATGTAAATGCTAGCTCATTCTTCCCAGTAACAGATGAGGTAATGGTTTCAAAGGAATCTGCTCAGGTCTAAAAGCACAGATATCACAATTAGGATACAACATTAAACTCTGAATCATTCATAATTTGATGTTTAAAAAAAAAGAAATGAAAAGAATAAAAACCTAAAAACACCAAAGCTGTTCAAACATGGAGTCTGAACTATAAGAAGGAGGCTGGTAAAGATTACATTGTGTTCATCCGCACACTACATTATCCCAGGATAAAACAAAATCCAAAAATGTAGTTGACAGTATTAGATTCCCAAATGGAAAATTTCTTTTCTCATCATCACAAACCATGCTCCCACAAGCACACAAAACAATACACATATAAGTGAGAAATTTTCCACTAGGAGCAGAGAAAATCCTTAGAAAAATAATTTAGTTGCATAGGACATGTTTAACTTCAAAGAGCATCCCAGCCATAGGCATTTCCAAAATATGAAAGACAAAGAAATTTCAGGTTTTTTAACTACCTCTTTTGATGAGGTATACATAATTTGGAAAATGCCAATATTAACTGATATTGATTGGCTAATACCAATATACTCTTTGAGAGCAGAATTTATCCTGGAATAAAAATAGTCTAGTACGGACATTTGACTAAAGCAACTTTTAATCCTCTTCTTGAATCGAAGAGTAAGAAACCAAAAAGATTAATAATAATTATTAAGAGGACATGTATAAATTGGTCACTAATTTCATCCAAGTCACCAGATGTTTGCTGATGACATCAGTAGTTATCACATGGATTAAAATTTTATAGGCTAGGGGTAATATTCATCCATGCCTTTGCTTTTTTTTCCTTCCAAAAAAAGATGTCAATATTTTTTTCTTTTAGCCAGTTCAACTTCACTGTTTGCACACTACTGAAACAAGACCTCTTCAATATCCACCGGTTTGCTGAAGATGTTAAAGCGTTTATCTGTAGCCAGCCTCTTGGTTACATCCCTGAGAAACAACCGCAACTCTCTTAAGGTATTTTCCTCCTGGTCCTCCATTCGATTTTTTTCTGATTCTGATAACTGACGAGGTGGAGAAGGTAGTGCAAGAGGAAGCACTTCCATAGCACAAAGAGCTAGAGAAAACAGAAAAAAATGTTAAGACTCCAACATGATGGGCCAGGACCTCAATTACATTTTTGGCATTCTCTCAAATTCTTTAAAGACAAGAATTACAAATACAGTCATGTGTTGCTCAACAACAGGGATGCAGTCTAAGAAATGTGCATTTAGGCAATTCTGTCATTGTGTAAACATTGTAAGAGTATACCTGCAAGAACCTACATGGTATAGCCTATGACGTATCTAGGCTATATGGTAAAGTCTATTGCTCCTAGGCTACAAACCTGGATAGCATGTGACTGTACTGAATACTGCAGGCAATTGTAGCACAGCGGTATTTGTGTATCTAAACATAGAAAAGGTATAGTAAAAATATGGTATTACAATTTTACGAGGCTGCCATTGTATATGCAGTCCATCGTTGACCAAAATATCATTACACAGCACATGACTATATGTGTAAAACATGCAAATCTAGCAAGTAAAAATTTGCATAGAAACAAAAAGGGAATAGCTTCATTTTATAAAATAACTCACAAGACCCCTTTAAAAAACAAAATAATTTGATTTGGAAAATTTATATATAACTTATGAGAAATACTTCAAATCAACACAAATATCTCCAACAGAAGTACTATATTCTGATTTTCTTAAGTCAACCTTGTTTAAAAACTGCTTCTCAAAATGGTATTGCTTTATATGCAAAAAGTATAATGGGCAAGTAATAATTATTTGATCCTTCCTGTCCCCAATAGAATTATGATTTTAGGCAGGTCTCCTGCTCTCATATCCTGAGTACAACAGAGTAGGGGTAGTGAATGGCACCTGCTGGAAGGGAGCTAAAAAAAATAGGAACTAAAAAAATTCCAGTTATGAAGGAGATGGAAAACCAGTCCTAAGTGTTATATGTTAAAATCCATGGTACTCACTATCTATCCTAAGAAAAAACAAAAATCTTCTTAAAAGGTAAAGTATTAACTTTCCTAATTATAACGTTCTCTAATTTTAAAAGATTTCCCTGATATCACCCTAAAGCTCAGAAGTAAAATTCTAAATATTTTTCACTGATTTCTAAATAGCCCCTAAGATGAAAAGTGAAAGTCAATAGAAACAACTGAAAAAGAATTATATCAATCATAAACATAGAAAATTCAGATCTATGAGATTAAAATGTATCTAGAAGCATGAAAGATTGAAATACATCATTTTCATAACAAAATATTTGAAATATTTAGATTAACAGGAAGCAACAAAATAAACATAAATAAGGTACAATTTACATATTAAATTTCCCAAGGTTTTGGGAGGGGAAAAAACCATAACTATAGCAATTTGATAGGTGTTCATTCTTTTTTTTTTTTTTTTTAATATGGAGTCTTGTTCTATTGCCCAAGCTGGAGTGCAGTGGAACAGTCTCAGCTCACTGCAATCTTGGCCTCCCAAACTCAAGCAATTCTCCTGCCTCAGCCTCCCAAGTAGCTGGGATTACAGGCACCCGTCACCACGCCTGGCTAATTTTTGTATTTTTATTAGAGACAGGGTTTCAACATGTTGGCCAGGCTGGTCTCACACTCCTGATCTCAGGTGATCTACCCACCTCAGCCTCACAAAGCACTAGGATTACGTGGTGAACCACCACAATGGCCAACAGGTGTTCATTTTTAAAACACCAAGAAAATTTGGAAAGAAGCCACTAAAGAACAATAAAATTATTTAAATGTTAGCTAAGATAACCAATAAAAAAAAAAACAAAGTAAAAAGAATATGGAAAAAGTAAGGACTTGGCAGGGATGAGGAATGTATTGAGTATCCTACAAGAAGCACTCTAAGAAACATAAAAGATGGAACAAGGGTAAAGAGGCTTAAAAATTTTTACCAAATAGGATTGCTACTTCCTAGAAGAGGCTGAAAGATTAAGCAAGTAGATCTTATCCTTTCATCTTTAAGATTAGGAAAAGAAAATCTCTTTTGAATGACTTAGAATGCAGCCCTTACTTATGTCAAGGAACTGAAATCTGACAAATTTTTGAGGTACCTCTTAAAGCTCAATTCTTGAATCTAAACTTCTTGAGTCCAAACCCAAGGAAAATCCAACACTTAAACCAAAGCCAGGATAGATTTTCAAATGAATAGCATAAAATGTTAAATGTAATGGGTCTAAATTAATAAATAAACTAGAAATGGTAAATATTCTAACCAGCACTTAGCCCATCAAGTCTACCATAGCCCAAAAAGTAACGAGCACAACACCTGGCGTTTACAACCTGCCAGTTCAAGTCCTGGGTACTTACTGTGACTAAAACAGAGAACTGAAGACTTTTTTCTATGACTTTTTGAGCCACATAATGTGAAATCTATTAGAGGATGTGGTTGACGTCATAAGAAGCCCTGTTTAGTGAAACTTTACCAAGACTATACTTCCCAATCTCAAGTCAGGTGAACACAATGGACACTTCCACATGTCCATCTGAAGATAAACAGAACCTGACAAACTGTCCTCACTTCCATGAAGGAAGGGCTAAAAAACCTGACTCCAAGAAAGGGCATTTCTTAACTCCATCCCCCTCATTTTCCTAAAGGCTTTACAAACTTTACCAGCATGTTTCCTTCGTGGTGGAGCCATTGATGCCTGATTGAGAATCAATTCTTGAAAAAATTTTCTTCTGTCTTCTTCAATAGGCCTTTGTATATACAAGACCTCTTCATACTGTATTCTAAAGATACATTTAACCTACACATATATACACACACACAAAGACATTAAATATATAGAGAATTAAAAGCTTACATATCATACCAAATTGCAATGTCTTCATCTTCCATTATCATGTTCAATATTCACAGAACATTCACATAGGGTTACAGTTAACCTAGTCCTAGGCTATGCTATTGAAGGGTTCAACCACATGGGCTAAAGAGAAGTGGAAGAATGTCCAGTTGCCCAAGTCATTAATGAATACTATATATCTAGTAAGAGTCATTAGATAATAGCAAAAAGGATACCTGGTTGTAATAGACGGCAACAATCTCAAACAGCTTTTACATAAAAGCTGAGAATTACTTACTTACAACCTAGAACAGAGAGCTGGAAGAATGTTAACACTGCCATCTCTTTCTTTCCTTTTTTTTTGCCCAGGCTGGAGTTCAATGGTGTGATCTTGGCTTACCACAACCTCCGCCTCCTAGTAGCTGGGTTCAAGTGATTCTCCTGCCTCAGCCTTCCGAGTAGCTAGGGTTATAGGCATGTGCCACACACCTGGCTAATTTTGTATTTTTAGTAGAGACGGGGTTTCTCCATGTTGGCCAGGTTTCTCATGATCCACCCACCTCGGCCTCCCAAAGTGCTGGGATTACAGGCATGAGCCACCATGCCTGGTCAATGCTGCCATCTCTTATCCTTGTATTTCTTTGTATTTCCTATCCATTGACTTCCCTTCCTGTGCTCTTTCCCTACAAAGTCTACTTCACTGTAATCTCTGGATTCCTGGTTCCACTGCAAATAAACTATATCTCTGGCCTAGTTTATGCTCCATAACACACTCTAAAAAAAATTAAGCCTATTATTCTCATATCCTTCATCTCCATGAACTTGGTGATTATCCACCTCTTCTGTTTACATACTCTGTGAAGACTTTGACCCCAGGTGTCCACCTTCTAAGAACTGCTATTTAAATCCTCTTTACCTCATCCAAATTTGTGTACTATGGCATTAAATATGGTATTTAATTTTTATGTTTTTCTAGAACGCCTACCTTCTACCTTCTAGACATCAAACTCCCTGAGAAAAGAGACCACTTTTTATTCATCTGTTTTCCTATACCTGTCCCAGTGTCTGGTATTTAGCAATGCCTAATAAACATGCACTGAAAGAGTTAAGCTTGTGATTTTGTTACCCAGCCCATATCAAATTGGAAACTGCAAATAAAAAAAGGAGAAGGTCACACTAGTATGCAAAGATATACCAACCATAACACTGTGAAAATATGGATTAGTGGTTAGCTTAGAATCCAACATTTTATAAGTGGGATAAATTATACTTCTCTAAGTTCACTCCTAACCTTATTTTCTGACAGTCCTAGCCTCAGATCTCATGCTATGCCAAAGACAAGCCTTTCATAATTCCCAGAACAAATCATGCTCTCTTTCACATTGGTTCACACTGGTTGTGATACATACTATTCACTTGATCCTAACCCCTTCTTTAATGAAACACTCTAGCTGATGCCTTCTGTGTGATGCCTTCCCTAACCTTCACTTAGGCACACCTTCCAATATTTCTCATTAAACTTTTTTTGAAAAAACAGTTCAATAATGTTCAGCAAATTTTACAGTTGTGCAGCCATCACAAGCAAGTTTTAGAACTTGTCATCCAGGCTGCAGTGCAGTGGCACAATCTTGGCTCACTGCAACCTTCACCTCCCTGGTTCAAGAGATTCTCCTGCCTCAGCCTCCTGAGTAACTGGGACTCAGGCAAGTGCCACCACGCCTGGCTAATTTTTTTTTTTTTTTTTGCAGAGACGGGGTTTCATTGTGTTAGCCAGGATGGTCTTGATCTCCTGACCTTGTGATCTGCCTACCTCAGCCTCCCAAAGTGCTGGGATTACAGGCGTGAGCCACCACACCTGGCCTGTTTTCATTTCTTTTGTGTAGATAACTAGGAATGGAATTGCTGAGTCATACCATAAATTTATGTTTAACTTTGTAAAGTGGCTGCACCATTTTACAATCCCACCAGCAGTATATAAGGACTCCAGTTTCTACATTCTTGCCAATACTTGGTATTGTGTCTTTTTTATTAATAGTTATTGGGTCGGTGCAAAAGCATGTCTTTTGCAGCATTTAATGGCAAAAAAATGCAATTACTCTTGCACCGACCTATGTTTTAGTGGGTTGCAGGGGTATTTCATTCCTGAATGATAAATAATGAGCATCTTTTCACATGCTTATCATTCAATTACATATACTCTAAGGTCATATAAAATTACATAAAATTTGTCCTATGACTGGCTAATTTCACTTAGTGTAATGTCTTCAAGCTTCATGTGTGTTGCAACATGCATCAAAATTTCCTCCTTTTTAAGGCTAAACAATGTTTCATTGTATATACTACATTTTGTTTATCCTTTCAACTGTCGATGGACACTGAGGATGTTTCTACCTTTTGGTTACTGTGAATGATGCTGTTGTGAACATGGATGTACAAATACCTGTTCAAGTCCATGCTTTCAAGTCTTTTAGGTATGTACCCAGAACTTGATTTGCTGGATCATATGACAATTATTTATTTAAGATAATGTCATACTGTTTTCCACAGTGGCCATACAATTTTACATTCCCACCAGCAATGCAAAAAGGTTCTCATTTTCCCACATCCTCATCAACATTTGTTAATTTCTGTTTTTTTAACAACAGCCATCTAATGTGAATGAAGTAGTATCTGATTGACATTTCCTTAATGATTAGTGATTTTCAGCATCTTTTCATATGCTGATTGTCCATTTGTATATCTTCTTTAGAGATATGTCTTTTTAAGTCCTTTGCTTATTTTTGAATGTTTGTTTTGTTGTTATTGTGTTGTAGGAGTTTGTCAGCTATATGATTAGCAAATATTTTCTCCTATCCTGTGAGTTGCCTTTCATTCCACTGATACTGATCAACTGTGATTTTACCTTTGATTTGAACTCAAAGCTAGATTTTGGACTTGAAAAATACACATATTAGTAATAACATTCAAGTTAACATGCTATTAATGAAAGAGCTGCAAGGTCAAATCTCATTAAATGATAAGGATGAGAAGGATATAATTGATGGTGATATAACCATAATTTTCTTAGAAAGCTGAGTATCTCTTTTCCAAAATGCTTGAGACCAGATGTGTGAGATGATCTTGGGGATGGGACCCAAGTCTAAAGAAAATTCATTTATGTTTCATGAAAACCTTATATACATAACCTGAAGGTAATTTTATACAATGTTTTTCATAATTTTGTGCATGAAACAAAGTTCTGACTGCAACCCATCATGTGAGGTCAGGTGCCAAATTTTCACTTGTGGCTTCATGTCAGCACTCAAAGAAGTTTCAGGTTTTGGATTTCTGGATTAGAGATGCTGAATCTGTGTATATATGTGTGATATGTGTATATATATACGTGTGTGTGTGTGTGTGTATGTGTATATATATGTATGTGTGTGTGTATATATTTACATATATATATGTATGTCAGGTTCTGTTCTAAGCATAAATTATCTCAATCTTTATAACACCACTGAGGTATTCCTGAACAGAATCTGACATAGATACACACACACACACACACACACACATATACACACATACATACACATAGTGGTATTATAGTATAGTGCTATTCTTCAGTGGTGTTATAAAGGTTGAGATAATTACCACTATAATACCACTATGCTAAAAAAGAAATTAAAACTTAAAACAATAACTTGCCTACATCATACAGCTAATAATCAGTTACAGACAGGATATAAACCCTGACCGTACTGATTTCATAATAATTAAAAGATGTCCAATTTACAGGGTGACCTATTTTAGAACATATAATAAGGAAAGATAAATATTTAATCAGTTCTTACCTCTTCAGGCAGTTCACTGTACATAGTTTCAGAGGTAGACAATAAAAATATAGGTGAAAATGATGGTATATCTTGTAGCAATGTCAGAAAAGTTGCTCTCACAGTTTCACTGACAGCTTCCCACCAATCCCCAATGTGAGGCATGTAAACAATGCTAGGTACTGTTCTTCGAGCTTCACGAAAAATCTAATTAAGGAAAAAAAAAAACAACATTAAACAACTCAAACTGATTAACGTCTACCCAGTTATCTCCAAATATATGAAATATGTCAGGCGTATTACAGTCATTAGTTTCAGCCTCAAAATTTTAGTTCAAGATATGATGCACAAGCCTCATACAACTTCAATCTACCCCTGCCCCACCAAAAAAAATTGTTTTGCCCTTTAATTATTCCTCATCAGTATATATCAACAGTGGAAGGTATCAAATTGCTCTACTTATCTACAATGTAAAGATAATAAAGCAAAACACCACTGTAAAATATGCGGCAAATAGAGATAAACATGCACCTATGTCACTCATGTAATATTAGTAAGCTTTACACAAAGAACATAGCTTATGTTTTTGAGTGCCTTGACTAAAACGATACAGCATATAAATTAAATAATCATTTTAACAAAGATGTACCACTCTAGAGCTCAAAATTAATGAACTACCTGTTGAACCAGCAATTCACCTCCTCCCATTATCTTAGTTCAATATTTTATAAAATAGTCATAAAATACTCTGACTTATCTAAAGAGCAAATGATTAGCAAAGAGCTCTGAGACACTCCACTGTCAGAAAATACAAAATGAAGTCTTCCTCAGGTGTTAAAAACAGTCCTAACCATAGTTTCAGTCACGCTCTGCCAACACACATCAATAGGGACCAAGTTGGCTACTAGTAAGCTGCCAAGCTGAATTAATGTCCCTTACTTATTAAGTCAACAGTTTAATCGCCCATCAACAAATTCTGACATGTTAACAGGACATCTCTCATTTTCTTCAACAAGTTTAGTTATAAAAATCTGACTTTCTTCCATTTTGAGAATTCTGCTCCTAAAATGGTCTACTTATTTTCCCTTATTTTTAACACATTTCAATTAGCCTATATAATATACAAGACATAGAAATAAAAATTTAGCCAGGTGTAATGGCTTGTGACTAATCCCAGCACTTTGGGAGCCCAAGACAGGCAGATCACTTGAGGACAGGAGTTCAAGACCAGCCTGCCCAACATGGTGAAATTCCATCTCTACTAAAAAAAAAAAAAAATTAGCCAGGTGTGGTGGTGCACATCCATAGTCCCAAGTGCTGAGTTAGGAGAATTCTCTTGAACCTGGGAGGCAGAGACTGTAGTGAGTCGAGACCACACCACTGCACTCCAGCCTGGGAGACAGTGAGACTACATCTCAAAAAAAAAAAAAAAAAGGAAGAATTTAATATTTAAAATAATTGTGATTATCAGAAACTACCCTAAGAATCAAAAGTATTATTTTTCTTTAATGAATAAGCTTACCACTTGCATATATTTTTAATAGCCTATTTATACAGCTTTAAATCTTCTGTGTAAAATAAAGTGTACTGCCAATTCAATAATAAACCAGATGAAAGAGGCTCAAATGATAATTGGAAAAAATGTAGATGTTATGATCACTCACATCGAAAGTAATATTTGCTCCTTCCCTTTCTTAATATTTGCATATCCACCAATCCAGAACAGTTGTACAGTACAACTCCTTCAGGACTCTCAAATTTTGACCTTTTCTGTAAACACGTACCCTCCTATCCTGGATCTTGGAAATCCAAGGATTATTTTTTTCCAAAGTTCTTGTAGAAAATTCATAAGAGAAAAACAAGCATAAATATTGGCAAAAGGAAGGAACCATACAGAGGCACAAAGGCAACTGAGGAATTTATTTTAAAAAAAAATTACATGCCACCCAAATCAGGCATGGTTATGTGGAAAACAGTGACCAGCTCCTTTTGTTACTTTCCAGTTCCCCACTCTGTGCTGGAACTAAAAAAAAAAATTAGCCAAGATTTAAAATCAGAGAGAGTCAGAAAGGAAAGAAAGGTGATCATATGAAAAAGTAGCTATAGGCTACTAAGGAACCTCACAAAACCAATCACTTAATTTGGCCATGCAAGTTACCACATATATGCCCAGGGTATGAGAGAGATAGGAAAACATGCCTTTAAAAAATGATATTTTTCCTTTCATTCTAGTACTTCTATGTTAGAGTTTCCAGGAACATGTGTTGAGAACCATTTACAAGTATCAAAGAGGATGAGCACATCAACAACAGGTTAAGTGAGAATAATGTGACAGTCAGAAGTTAACTACAGGTGTCTTAACTGTATTTGCTAGGGTGAACTACATACAATCATCACCAGCTCTAAGAGTTGAGGTTTGTTTTTTTCTATTTCTTTTTTCCTCCAATTGTCTCAAAACTAACAAATTGAACACGATACCGTATTGACCCTATTAAAAAATTTAGAAATTCCACATTTCCAAAAAATTTTTCTTATTTTCTTCTCATCTTCTCAAAATTAACGAATTGTGACATCCTACTGATCCAATAAAAAAATTTGGAAACTTTTTACTTCCACAGTCTTTAGGAAAATGTCCTTCTTGACCAAAAATAAATAAATAAATAAATAAACTATATTTGAAAATTTATAAGGGAATAAAATCAGGCAAGTCTAAGATGAACATGGAAAAATAAAAAGACTTTGTCTTTCTGATCTATGAATGCGTAATTACATGAATTGAGAATTAACCTAACTACATGAAATACCAACATCTATGAAATATTTTTGTAATTTTTCTCCTAAGCCTTTAGTTAAAACCCATCCTTAATTTCCAGAAAAACTAAAAAGCACTACTAAAACAAGCTTTCTTTTTAACTCCTTATTCTATGTTATGTTAGACTATTAAAATAAACTTTTATATTTTCTTTAAATTTATAACCAATCTGTTCTAATTCTCATTTTGTAATAAAAATTCAAAAAGAACAGAGTTTGAGTATAGCATTTAAAAGTTCTCAGAGTACAAGCAACAGGGAAAAAAGTTTAATCCTATTATAATTTTTTTCCATAAAATAAAAACAGCTCTTCAGCAGTTTGCTGGTAACTTTTAAAGTATGGAGTAAAATACACTCTGTGAAATCAAATACCAGATAATTCAGAGTAGAAAAATATAGCCTAATTTCAATGAAGCGGCAACTGGCTTGGGAACAAGTGATGCCATTTGAGAACTAGAAAAATACTCACCTATAGGGTGTCTTGGATTGGTGGATGTGCAAGGTGTAGTAGAAAACAGAAAAACTGTTATAGAAAAAAAAAAAGACAGTAGGCCAAATTACTGAACCAACCGTTTCAAAACACCTTTGACATGACCAGCACTCTTGCACAAGTAAAATGAACAAATGCCAACATATGTGAACTGTTCATTTTGATTCTTTATTACAACATTATACTCCATTGTCTTCTGACCTCCTTCTTGCCATGGACTTCATAAGGACTTTATATAACTAATATTTTTAAACTTTATTTAAAAAAAATCACAAACTACTTCCTCTAAATATTAAAACAGTTTAAGGCAAAAATCAGGCCATTGAAGTTAGAAGTATCCATACAAGGAAGCACTCATGATATAAACTGCACTTACAGTTACAAGAGTTCTAATCATCTCAAAAGCTAAACTTTGAAGTTAGCATTTTAGCCATCAAATTAAAATGTTCCGTCCATGAAAATTCAGTGTATTTTTACATTAAGAATTTATAGTCCTACAACAAGCCATTTTCTTTAGAAAGTGAAAACTTTTCTTAGAAAAGTTTTAAACACAAATGTGAATAAAGCAGAAAGCTCAAAGCCAGTATCACTTTACTTGCCTAAAGGGGGCAATATAGGAAAGAGGGAAACAACTTTATGTCATCAAGAAACTTCCAGAACTTGTCTCAGTCACTTAATAGTATTATAAATATATTAAAATTGTAAAGCACAGGTAAAAAAAAATCTTGGGAGCTAAAACATCCTCAGTGTTTTTTATAAAAATTAAAATAAGTTTAATTCTTTGTGCCATGCTATCAGAAATTATTAAAATAAATAATATCTGTGCATTGCTGGTGGCTTTATACCATTTCTATTCCTTTACTTACATTTCATTTATCTAAGATTTACTGAGAATCTCTTATGAAAAGAAGGCACTGTATGAATTCTAAAGATTCAGGATTCAATAAGTAAGGTACAAATTTCTTTACATGCACACAAAATCAGCCTGTTATAAAACACATCTGTACTAGTTTCTGAACTATGGCAGTAACACAAATTAGTGTTTTATGAAAATTAAATCCTTAAATTCTTTTTTTAATATTTTCATTCCCTAAAGACTTCAAGAATTTCAGTAAGTGTGATACACTCCAGGTCGGGATAATTTAACTTGTCTACAACCCAAAAAAAAAAGTATTGCTATTGAAAACCTCAGATACCCATTTAAGCAAACACAAAAGCATCCAAAGTATACACAGACTGCTATAGAGAAACTGAGAAACCTAAAAGCACAAACACAAGAGCATCCAAAGTATACACACAAGAAAGTACATTAATACCTTCACGCTATTCGACCAAAAAGAGCATCCCCTGGGAAATTCTAGATAATAATTTCTTTCTGGGGAAAGAAATGCATTTACATTTTCACCAAGAAAAGACCTTATTCACCTTTAGCAATTATTCCCAACACCACACAGTACCTAAACTCCAAAGCTTTTCAAAGACCATATATAAATGTATTAATTGAATCAAACTTTTCTAATAATTAAAAACATAAAATATAGCACACTTATCAGTCCTTTTTTTCTAAATCAACAACAGAAATATACAGAAGGCAAAAATTATATTTGAGTATGTCAGAAAAGGAGAATCATAGTTTTGTTTTGTTTTTTAAGAGTGTTAATACCAAAGGTCTTTTACTACCGATAATTAACATTTTCTGTCTTGTAGGACTCAATAATTACTTGTGAACTTAAGGGGGCAACTATAAATCTCCCAGGCTATGCCATGGGTTCTCATTCTCCTTCCAAAACCTTTAGAAGACTGTGAAATGCTCAATAACATATGTGTGTACACACACACCCACACAAATTTGTTTCAGTAATAAATGTTGGACTAATGTCTAGGGACCAGTTAAAGTACTCAAAGTG